TCACAGAATCACAGAATAGTAGGGGTTGGAAGGGACCTCTGTGGGTCATCTAGTCCAACCCTCCTGCCGAAGCAGGGTCACCTACAGCAAGCTGCACAGGACCTTGTCCAGGCGGGTCTTGAATATCTTCTCCCAAGTAACTAGCGATAGGACAAGAGGAAATAGCCTCAAGTTGCATCAGGGTAGGTTTAGATTGGGTATTGGGAAAAATTTCTTCACTGAAAAGAGTGGTCAGGCATTGGACCAGGCTGCCCAGGGAAGTGGTTCAAAAAACCATGTAGATGTGGCACTTCGGGACATGGTTTAGCAGGCACAGTGTTATGGAGGTGATGGTTGGACTTGATGATCTTAGAGGTCTTTTCCACCCTTCATGATTCTATGGTTCCATCTTCTACCCACACAAACGTTCATGGAAATTTCATGTGGTTTTATTCCAGCTACAACATTTACACACCGCATACAGCAACCACTGGCAGGGAGAGCCTCAGCACAGCCCCAGAGCGCAGGGCTGGGGACATGTACACACACATACATGTGCTGCCAGCCTGGAACAGAGTGGACGGCGTGGGGGGCAAGGAGAGCACACCAGCAAGCTCCGGGAAGGCGGCATCCTGCAGGCCAGGGTTCCAGGAGCTGGAGGAGATGCTGGAGGCATCAGTACTTGGGCCGTTTCACCTCCACCCTGGAAGACACAGAGGGGCAGGATGGTGGTGAGGACGCAGGGCAGACAGCTCTGGCCCCCTCCCACCATGAGCTCGGCCCCAATGACCACAGTTTCGCCCCACAGAACAGAGTGGGGCCCAACAGCTCCCTGGGGCAACCAGCTGGATGGGGCAGAAGTGCCTGGTCAAGGAGGAGCCCCAGCACGGCCCTGGGGTCTGCACAACAACCACCCATAGCCCAGGGCACCAGTGCCCCGTGGTGCTGAGCAGGGCAGGAGCACCCTGAGGGGCCCAGACGTTCTCCACTCTCCTTCCAGCCCCACTGCCGAGAGCCGGCAGGGAGGTCTCAGC